TTATGATTGTGTAACAGATCAGCTGACGACAGTGCCGCCGTTGCGTACCAAAAATAGTGGTACTGGGTCAACGACCTCGGTGGTGGCAGCTGTCGGCTGCGGCGGCTGAACCGGTTTTTGGCCTGCGCGCTCTGTTGCTATCGGCGATAATGTCGCGGTGCGAAAGGTTGGCGTTGCGGAGGGGTGGTGGTTGTTATATAACTACTTCCCAATCCGTATCACGGTTATGCACGGCTGCGCGGATTTCCCTGTTACGTACTAAAAATAATTGTTACGTAATGTTCTCTACGGGGTCCTAGCTAACCGGCAAACACACTCCTGGTCGAATAACTTATTACTAATTAAATATAAGCAATTAATCCGAGGTAGGTTATAATAATTTCGGACGCAAGTAGTATGCTCCCGTGTCAGCGTGAAAACTCTTACCTTGTCGCTGACTTGAGGAGATTCCTCTGCGGGGAGCCAATTTGACGCGGCTACGGCGGTGTTAGAATGATGTAGACCGGCCGCTGCGGTACCTGTACTTTGTACTGGTTGCCGCTGCGTACCGTGTCATAGTTGTATACATATATTGTGGACCTACTTAGAAGTATGTGTTAGTTATATATCCTTTTTTTGTACACTATAATAATACTTCTATTTGCTTATAATCCTTCTTTGCACTTCTGTGTGTTATATAACAGAAATGCAAAGAAATATTAGAAGTAATTAGAAGTATTAGTGTAAAATAAAGGAGTTGTTTAACCATTGGTGTGCAAAAAACTACTTGTTCAAGGTATCCACAAATTAAAACTCATTTGGTAGGAGTGCAATCTACAATCTACTTCACAAAACCAACAATAAGAGTTTTTTTATTTTTATTCAGGTTATGCATAGTAAAGTATTTATTGAATACTATAGTACAAACATTTGTTATCTTTCCCACAAAAATAATTTCATATATGGATATATTTTAGTAGATTAGATAGGCATAATATTATAATATTAAATTTCTAGTTTATATAAAACAATTAATATTTTTTAAATTATTAATTGAGATTGTGAATAGTTTGAAAATTTTGTAATCATATAAAGTAAAGTAAGTATGTAGACTGTACCTTATGAGAAAATTGTTTATTATTGTAATTTAGGAAATTAGAAAAATGCAGTCACTCTTATGTGATCTACATACTAATTAAAAATAGATTAACTTTTTTTTAATTAGATTTGATTTAATTTGTTTTCTATCTAACTTAACGAGTTAAATTTAAGATTTATTAACTGTTAACTTCTATCTCATTGATCTTGTTTTCTCTTATTAATTATTTTTATTATGCTTGTCCGCCTTTGGAAATATATAATAAATAACCTCACATAATTTCTTATTTTTTTAAAAATATTATTACCGTAAAACGGGGTAACTTTGGCCCAGGGAGGTAACTTTGGCCCACAGTTGGAATTTTGATAACTTCTGTACACTGTGATAAGAAATGTGACTATTATCAAAATGTTGTGGTTGATTCTGATTCCTGACAACACTGGTAACCGAATGTGATAACAGTTTTTGGCGCTATCACTTGTATTGTTATCAATAAATATTTGTTTTGTCAACGTTATTTTTGGACTGTTAAAAGCACCTAGCATAGGCTAACTTTGGCCCAAAGTAGTGTAAACGGCCAATCTATAGCGATATTTGGAGGTGAGACAAAGTTACCCCATTTACGGGTAACTTTGGCCCATTTTTTTGAAAAATTTTTTATGGTTTTTATGGTACCAAATATAATAGCACATGAAGCTAATGAAGAAAATATCCTTTTTTTCTTCTGACCAACATAACTAAATATTTGCAAAAGTTCATCGTCGAAAACTGTTCTTAACATTTGTCTTATTGTTGATGTTAATGATTTTTTTGCCAATCGTTTGAGACCATTAACCTGAAAGAATAAAATTAATATAGCTGATTTATTATTATAATTTTTTTATTTGAAAACAAATTAAAGGGAAATCATACAACATTTTAAATAAGAAATATTTAAAGTGTTATGATCAAACTTATCCTTTCAAAAACTATTTTTAAATAGTACTTACAACATTTAATATTATTAATAGTTAATTTAGTAACCCTAAAATGTTATAATTTTAAAATGTATACCTTCGTTTAACAATTCATTAAAAATAGGTGGATCTTGAACCAATACTTTTTTTCTTCTAATCTTGGTCTGAATTTCATCACTAGTTGAAAGATCATCTGTTACCTCAGCTTTTTTTAACTTTTAATTTAGCTTCAAAATAACTGGCTATAGTAAAATACAAAAATCAATTGATAACCACCCTCAAAAAAATATTTTATCCATTAAATAGGTAAATAACTTGAAATTACCAATGCCTTTTTTTTAACGTTCTCGAAGGAAAATAATCAAAACCATGCTTATTTAGTATTGTTCTAGATTGTATATGTTTTTTTATATTGTTTTTTGGCCAACCACAAAAATCTTTTTTTACCCAATGGCTAGGAACAGCTTCAACTGCATTTTCATTAATAAAATGCACCACAGTCCACATTTTGATCTACTTTTGATCTACTGAAAAATAGAAAGTTTGATTATTTTTCTTTTATAATTTTTTTCATAATGATAATGCTCTTAATTATTTTTGTTTTATAATTATATTATATAGGTATATAAAAAAAATTAAGATATTTTAATACCTATATAATTTAATATACTATTAAGAATTAAGAATGTTAAAATAAAATATTTTAAAATCTGAAAATTGTCACAAAATCCGTGAAAGAAAATTAAAATAGATTTGAATATTACAATGTTGTTGTAAGCTTAATAAGTAACATAATTATATATTTTCTCTCACTATTTGTTTTCTCTCTCTGATCCATATATGCAATATGCCAATATTGTGTTCAGCAAATTCAGTTTTGTCTGTTGTTGGCCTTTGCTTTGATATTAGAATAAATTATTATTATTATCATCAAACTTAAAGGTATATAAGGATATTATCTATGGCACATCATAGGCTATTATTGATATTTTTATTTAAAAGTTTGTTATTAACATATAACTATGTAAAATATTATAATATGTTAAATGCCCATAACTTGCATTAAAAATAAAATATGTATCAATTAAAACATATTATGATGTATGCTAGATAATATTCTTACCTTATTAAGTTTGATAATAATATGTCAATTCACTATAATATTAAAGCTAAAAATATATTAAACGTTTTAATGTTCCTTATTGGTCAGAGAGAAAACAAATTGTGTGCTAACATGCTCAACTAATACAACAAAATACAAAATAGGTAACTGTATTTTTCCAGTAACTTGAAAAAATAACCTAAACATTTTTAATTAAATTTAAGGATAATTTAATCATTCACACAATTCACATAATTAACTAGATATATTAGGGGATATTTAAATAATTTTTATTTGTAATAAAATAGGTACTATAATTACTTTTTTAATTAATTTGTATTTGTCATACATTGACCAAAAAATTCACATCGGTAGAAGTTTTCAAAGAGAAGCGTGTTATAATTTTAGCATAATTTAATGAAAAACCATCTGCATAATATTTAAAATGTATAGGTTCCTACCGGGTACATAGATACAACCTTGATACAATTATTCTTAATTGATATATATATTATTATAGTTGATACAAATAAAACAAATATTTACAAGAAAATTAACAATCTACATTTTGAATATTTTTTTTTATACAAACTTAAATTTTTCAACTATGATGAATGTAATAAAGGGATAGCAATGCAATCTTTATTGCATAATAATATCATGATAATATAATAATATAATATAATATAATATAATATCATGATCATATCATAACTTTATTTTGAATGTCATTTATATTCCACATATATAAATTAGTTGATAATTGTTTTACGATATATATTCCAAAGCAATATGATCTTATAGGTTTATCATAAAACAATTCCTTAATTTCAAATTTTCTGCCAATCAAAACCACTTCACCAGTGTTATGTGAGTGAACAATATTAATTAATTTTATAACTTCATTAGTTTTAGAAACAAAATAAGAATCAGTATCTATTTTACATTTAATTTTAAAACTACTCAGAATTAAAGAACTGAATTGTGGATTAACGCTGCCACTTAATAAAGGTCCATCATTATGTGGTCCTAATAATAAGCCATTTTCATCACTTTGGACGGTTTCATTTTTATTCAGACTAAAGTTTCCATTTTCATTATATCTTATTACTACTTGTTCTAAAGGCTTATTAGGCTGCCTTAGCATACTCTTTAGAACTTTCATATAGTTTTCAAATGGGAACGCACTGCAATTATCAAGAGGCCCATACTGTTTAAAATCATCTACTAAATGAATTAATCCATGAATGTTGGAAGATACAAGATACTGTCCATAGATTTGTTCAAATGTTTCAACAAAGTAATTTAACAAATCATCAGCATATTGTATAAATGATTGTGGCGTTCGTGCCGTTATCACGGTCGAACACCAACGTTTAAATAAATGAGTAGGTACGCGAATGACGTTGCAGGCGCGCGATGCGCGGTTTATTTAAGACACTGAAAAATACACATTACAAATAAAAAGCCTTCAGATGAGTCGGTCGGTTATCGGGGAAAAACGGCTGGTCACGTGCGTTACGTGGTGTCAGGAGCATGTTTAGTTAAACGGCAAAACATGGCGGCGGTACGCGGGACGGACTGTGTACGTCGTGTACGTCGGTTGACGGTTGCCGAGAGAGAGCCCGTTGGCAGCCGCCCGACACTTCGCGGTCGCGAACGACGCGGAGGGCCGAGCGGTGTTGCCAACGCAGGGAGCGCGACCGACTGGGGAGGGAGTATGTAGCGAAGTCACTGGTTCGTCACATGATCTATGATTAGGAGATAATAGAATAATCATTGCTATATTGAGGGCCATAAAGTTTTTTAAACAATCAGCAGACACAATGTTTTTCAATATAACAGAACCAACATACAACAAAAATTAACGGAATTCAGTAGCTTTCCAGCGTGCCACTTCATCTAGAGATCTAGGTTTCCGAGAAAATTCACATGGAAATTCAGATTTGAAACTTAAAGATAATTTGGTTAAATGTTTTATTTTTGAAGATGGTAAACGAACACTTAATGGTCCTTTGATCCACAATAGTAAAAGTTTTTTCATTACACCAAGAGTTACTAGATGCATGTAATCAAGGGAGAAAGATGATACAACATCCACACCAGATATTTCTACAATCCTTGAAATAGTAGTATATGGTGAATGGTGATTTATATCAGTTTGATGAACATAATTATTATGCGTTCGTTTGGCTTCTCGCTTGGAAATATCACAATAAGGAAAACATAGCCGATTCTCTTTATACTCTCCTTCAATTTCACATCTTGCGCAAGAAGAAAAACCATTATGACCTTTTATTTTCAAAATGAATGCCTTTGCGGGAGCATCGCAACAAAAAACATCTAATAATATCTTATAAATACTATTATTAATCACTAGACCATTTTCAACTAAATGTTTTGCTTCGTCTACAAAATCTTTTAAAAATTCATTGCTATCATTTGGCTTTTCAGTACCAAAATATAGTCCAACTGGAAAAACAACATTACATTTTGACCTCACATAAGCTAAAATGGGCCAAAATTGATTGGAATTGCTTTTAGAAATAGGCAATCCATCGATGCCAATAACAAGATTTATTTCTTTTGAAGATTGATCAGTTTTATTAAAAGTAGAAAAGTATCTATTAATTCCATTTTCGATTCCAAAATGGTAATATTTACCAGGATCAACAATTCGCATTTTACATAACTCTACTGATTTTGTGTGTAAAATAGTTCTAGCATCTTTGGGCAAAGTAGAAAAACATTTATGTTTTCTTAAAATTAATAGGAGACTATTTAAAGCAGTATGTGCAATTTTGTTTTGTATTGACCAATCAGCTAACTCAAAACAAAAAGATTTGTCTGTATCAAAATATATAAAATCACCATCAGTTGAAGTATTTAAGTTTAACAGATCATTAAAATGTTCAGTATTTAAATTATAATTTTGAGTCTTATTGATATTATCCGTTAAGCTATCATCTGATACAAAATCATTATTGTTTGGGCTATTATTCGTTTCAACTATATTATTTTCTGTAATTTGTGATAAATTACTAGGAGAGTTATCAATAAAAAAAGAATTATCTTGTACAGAATTATAATGCGCTTCTAACTCTTTATTAATTCTCCTCTTTTTTGTTCGATAACTTAATGGAAATGATTTTTTCATACTTGAACTAGGTATAAACAAAGAAATGTATAGAGGTTAGGTAGGTAGGTATCTGTAATTTATTTATTAATCATTAAATACCTACATATTATATAATCTAGTTTCTGAAGGCAATACCTAGGTTAGGTAGAAACTAATCGAAATGATGCTGTATAATATAGCTAGGTCGTTTAGAATAACGCATAATTACCTATCTCTTTTAAACATTTTGTTCGATGTACATACCTAACATATTGGAAATCTACATTTTATTGGAAATCTACATTTTATTGGAAATCTACATTTTGTGATGCTTAATTGTCAAAACCTCAAGGGTTTTTACAATTTACATTCGTGATTTTCTACGATTGTGAATAGCGATCAGTGTAGTTTAAATTTTGAGTGCACATCGACGCGACGACGCAGCATATTATTATCAAAATTAAGTAAGATTTTATAGGTAGGTAGCTGTCAGTATGCCACGTGGAATCTGATAAGTATTAGGTATCTCGTGACTCGTATTATACTTAATTTACATTATACTAATACGTAGATTTACTTACCTATTGTTGCCGAAAATATCACACTTGAGTACTTGAGACAAAGTGACACACCGGGAAAACTGCACTGTCGCACAGTAGGTACACACACAACTGTCAACTACACAAGTTTAAAAGTACCTAATGTCCTAATAACAATCAATAATAACCAATAGGTACGATCACGATGCGCACTGAGTGAAATGTACAATGGTCATATAGAGTTGTACGAATCGCGCACTGGAGCGTCGTGGGTCGGCAGGATATGGGTAATACCCGGGGAAATGCGTTATAGCAAGCGGGCGATGTTATAAATATTATATTATGCTGATAACAATAATAACAATAAACACACAGTTTTTTATAAAACGGAGTACGGACTACGGTCTACCGTATACGAATGCCGGAATGCTATATTATACACTTATACCTAATTTTAAGTACACACTATTATAGTAAACCAGTTCACATGCGCACAAGTGCCCAACTGAGTACCTTTGGTTATTGCCGATGATAAAGGAGTAGTAGGCAATCCACCGAAATGGCTCTAATGATTAAATATAATTAAATAATACGCCATAGTAACACCATTGCAAAAACAAAATTCAGTAATATAAATATACTAAAACAATATGAAACAATAATAGATATACAAATTACAAATACAAATAAATAAAATATGTACTCTGTTACGAGATTTTTTTATTAAATAATTGTTAAATTAATACATTAATTTAGGTAATTCAATAATACTTTCACATAACTTTATTATGGTTTATTAATCATTAGGTACCCAATTAATTGGATGTAATTATTAGTAATAACTATGGTAAATCCATAACATGAATGATGGTAGTCGATATAATATGCCAATATGATAATAGTATATTTCGGGTAAAACAAAAGAACCTATTTTCCAACCTATTATTAGGTGTAAAATATATATATATTGATTCAGAGGGAAATGTCTCAGTCCAGAGGGGAAACGCCCAGAACCGCTAGCTAGAATCCGCGGGGGTGGGGGGAGAGAGGGGACGTCCAAATACCAAATCGGTAAATAGTAAATACCTACTAAATAATAATAGTAAATACATCGCGGTATCTCATTAATGCTGATAAGTGATAATAATTTGAATAATATATAAATTGAAAATAATTGTGTACGTGTACCTATATACCTATACATATAAGGTAGGTATATATTATACATTACACAATATACGTAGCCACGTAGGTATATTATGTATATATAGTATATTATAGGCTATAGCTGTATACATACTATATTATACTTGATTAAGAGGACGCCACACGGGCAAAAATACCGTACAAAAAGATGCCAATTTTGTTCCAATAATACGGCTTACTGAATGGTTTTAGAGCAAAATACCTTTATTAAAAGTTGTAGAGGAGAGTTATATCGGGTGAGTGTCGAGACTCGATTTTTGATATTTTAATTTTTTATACCAATTATTCACATGTAAAAAAGTGAAAAAAAGTGAAAACGCAAAACGATTTTATCGATTTTGAGAACGAAATATCAAAAATCGAGTCTCGACACGCACCCGATATAACTCTCCTCTACAACTTTTAATAAAGGTATTTTGCTCTAAAACCATTCAGTAAGCCGTATTATTGGAACAAAATTGGCATGTTTTACAGAAAAAAAATGTAATTGCGGCCGTCATGTGCTGCTGTCGTTTCTAGCGGCAGCGTTTGTCCCCTCCTAGCTCTGACATCCAGGCGCGCTCGCCGCCGGCAGGTCAAAACCGGTCTGTTATCGGCTGTCCGCGCTTCGCCCGTCGTTGCATTATTTTCATAATATTATTATTTACGTGAAATAAAACAAAATAAAATTATGCTCGATTTATTACGATGCCCGCAACCGTCCTTACATTACCGTATTGCCGTGACAGCCGCGGCTGTGAGAAAAAACTTATTTTTTTAGTTCCAAAAACACGGCTAACTGTTTTAGAGCAAAAAACCTATTATAAAAGTTATAGAGGAGAGTTAAATCTGTTAACGTATAGGACTAGATTTTTGATATTTTAATTTATTATACCAATTATTCACAAATCAAAAAGGTGAAAACAAAAAACAAAAAATATAAAACAATTTTATGGATTTTGAAAATGAAATATCGAAAATCGAGTCCTATATGTAATATAAAACATCTATAAAAACCTCTTCAAAAACATTTAAACATAATTTCTATATAATATATATTATTTATTGTGTTAAAAATATAAAAATTTATAAAAATTAAAACTTATCTCATCAAATAATTAGTGTATTAGATACCGTTACAACACAACTATACTCTGTACCAAATAAGAGCGCACCGCGTTGGCGCATCCAAATGAATCGCGGAGCGACGTCTGGACCCCCTGGTCGAGTCTATTCGCTCTGTGATTGGTCGCCGATCGTCGGTCGGATTCGCCGCCATCGAGAATACAGGGAGCTGAAGTAATAATGCGTTTCACGCGTATTAATCAGTAAAATAATACACATACTTTTCGTTTTTTTTTTTCTTAACATAGGTATTGAACTCAACATAATATTAAAAACATTCAAAATATTCACCAATGCGCGCAAAAAATATAACAACGTCTAACCGCGTATACCGTTAAAATTGGTGTGATAATATACAACACTCTGTATTCAGAGTTGACCTGGCCGGCGCCGGAATATGCTGCGGCAGCGCTCTCTAACATGCGCGAGTTTCGACCGGTTTTCGTGCGCCGCCCGGTGCGCTCTTATTTGGTACAGAGTATATACAAATTAGTAATTAGTAATTACTTTAAAAGTTTAAAAGTAACAAATAAAATAAAATTTATAAAGGTGATTTATTTCAATACAATTATACATATTATTATACATTTGATTATTTGAACAATTTTATTAAAGTATGTTATAAAATAAAATATATTTATACAATATATAAGTGTAGAAAAAAAGTAAGATAAACAAAATACATAGGTACATACTAATTAATTCAGTGGCGTATTTAGGAATTTGTCATGGGGAGGGTCCAGATAATTTTCAGAACACAGAGCCACGGGGGACGAAGTCCCACACACCACCCATTTACTCTTTATTAAATAAAATATACCATATTTATAAGACGATATAAAATTTTTGAGTTTTTAATTATTAAATAATAATATGTACAAAACAAATTTAATAAAAAGCGTTTAAGTGGATCGGTGGATGTCACTCTGCTGCTGTACAGTAGGTTACAAGTGGGTCAATGTATAATATAATGTATAATATAATGGATTGTATTAAACTTGAACTCAATGATATAATATCATAATATCATTGTATAAGAAAAACGATTCTGAGCGAAGACGGTTTGTCAGTCTGGATATTTTATATTATATAATAATATATATTAATATAATATAATAATACATAATATTAGGTATATAAATACGTACTAAGAACCTTTGCTAAATTAATTTTTAGAACTTGGGAGGATTATAACTTAAATTAATGTTTTCTATAGCTGATTTTTTTGCTTTCCTATTTAAATAACATTTTGCTATAAAATATAATAAAAAAACTATTATTATGACAACTAAATATTTGTTTACGTTTTATCAACAATAAGCGAATTTAGTAACATATCTTGTTGGTGTAATTGTTTATTTACTTTATTGAACGCTTTTTTATTAAATTTTATATATTTTATTTCATCGAAATGAATCGGTTTGGGATAGGCCTGATTTGAAAAATTGAATACATTACAGCATGAATCATTCGTAAGAGATAAGTCTACTGGAACTGAGAAATATGATGTTTGATTTAATACTTGTTCAGTTTTTAGTACACCTTTCGAGGTGTAAGCAGCAATACACCCAGACTTCAAGTATAACTTTCCAGAACTTTTAATTTTAATTTTTTGAGTGAAAGACTGTTTATTACAAATTATAGTAATTGTAGTGGGTTTTTCACATACAAAAAACCAATGATTTTTGAAAAATGAGGGATACCACATTTCTGTTTTGAATTCAGAGATATAAGTATAACATTGAGGTGGTTTAGTTACAGAATTTTTTAGTAATTCTGTTACACATTTGGGGTCCGTGTCACAATTATGTATAATTTCATTAAATCCACAAACAAATATTTTATCCACTTACAGTTATTTAAATCTGGCCAAATAAAATATTTGGTCATTATTTTGTCCATTAACAAATACATAGAATTTTTAGTCATATGGAGAAATTGACCATGTTCATTTATTGGAATGTAAATCGGTAATATATAATAAACGTTGAAATTTTCTATAAGGCAAAGAGGAAATTTGAAAGAAAAAATAAATCTGTCAATTCAAATCAAAATTCGATCTTTAAATGCTTATAAAAAAAATTGTGCCTATGTATTTTTAATATTTTTCAATTGCTACTGTAACAATATATCAGGAGCCTTGTATTAAATTTTTACACTTTTTGGCCCAACAGATAAAACTTAATTGAT